CAGAGCCCCAGTGCTGGAGAGCAGATATCAGCCCCTGGCCCAGCCCCTCCCAGCAGAGATGCAGAGCGACCTCCCAGCCAGGTGGGTTCACACGCAGCGGCCCCGGCTCTGTCCTGCCCCTGCCCCAACCCGGCAGGAACTGTGTTCCGGGTGGCTTCCCGCCCTGCTCTGGCTGCTCCCCTGCTCCTGAGCCCGGGTCCCAGAGCCCCAGTGCTGGAGAGCAGATATCAGCCCCTGGCCCAGCCCCTCCCAGCAGAGATGCAGAGCGACCTCCCAGCCAGGTGGGTTCACACGCAGCGGCCCCGGCTCTGTCCTGCCCCTGCCCCAACCCGGCAGGGACATAACAGGGCCCGGCTGGGGACGGGCTGGAGGTCTCTGGCCGTCCGAGGCCACAGGGTGCTATTTGTTTGCAGAGCCAGGCAGAGAAATGGGTGAGGGGGCTGCTGGGGCTGGCGGGGGGGCGGGGCCCAGCCCCCGGCCGCATGCTTCAGGGTGCAGCCCCATCGGCAGGGACGTCCCTTCGCCAGCCCCTGAGTTTTAACCTCCTCCCTCCAAGGCCCTTGCGGGTGGGTGAGCCAGAGGGGAGACCCTGTCTCCTGCTCGTCTGTCAGGGGCCTCCGCATGGGCCCCGAGTCTCAGGGGGACCTGGGCTGGGGCAGGAATTTCCCCCAGTTCAGACAGGCAGTGAGCTTGGGGGGCGGGTTTCACCGTCCCCTGCAGCGTGTGAGGCTGGCCCCCCACCAAGCTGAGCTGGGAGCATCTTCCAAACCTTCTCTCTGCCTCGCGGGGGTCTCGGCCCCCCTCTTCCCTGCCTGGGGCCAGCGGAAGCCATGTTCCCTGTGGGCTGGGACCTGCTCCTCCTTTGGGTGGGATGGGCAGTGAGCAAAGCTGGGGGGCATCGTGGGCTGTGCTGGACGGCCGGGGATCTCGCCTGGCCTCCGGTTCTGTGGTTCCCTTCCACCGCCCCCCGTCCTCATGCCAGGAATAGAACCCAGATGTCCTGAGTCCCAGGGCTCTGTGCCCCCAAACCACCAGCCCCTGCCCCTTGGAGCCAAACCTAGAGCTGAGCAGTCCTGAGCCCAGCCCCACGCTTTACCCCACTGGCTCCTTCACCTCCCAGAGCCAGGGAGCGAGCCCAGCAGTGCTGGCTGCCAGCCCCACACTCGCACCAGAGCGCCTGGCTCCAGCCCGGGCCCAGAGGGGGGACTCGGCCTGTGTCAGTGTCATGGAGAGAACAAGGCTACACCACACTTTGGGGGCACTGGCCTTGGGAAGCAAGGAGCACAAAGCCCTTGGCAACGCCTGTGCGGGTCAGCGCCACCAAGAGACTCGGGGTGCCCTGTCTCTGCCCTGCGATGCTCAGACCGGACTGCCCCAGGGTTGTCTGCAGCCCACAATGCGAGTGGGGCCAGGGCAGTCACCTCCGGAAACACAGACACTGGCTGCAGATTTAGCGTTCCCAGAATCCTAGGGTGGGCAGAGACCTCAGGAGTCAACAAGTCCAGCTCCTGGCCCAAGGCAGGACCAACCCCAACTAAATCAACCCAGCCAGGGCTTGGTCAAGCCGGGACTTAAACACCTCTAGGGATGGAGACTCCACCCCTCCCTCGGGAACCCAGCCCAGAGCTTCCCCACCCGCCTAGGGAAATAGTTTTTCCTAATATCCAACCCAGACCTCCCTCCGTGCAAAGTGAGCTCATTGCTCCTTGTTCTGTCATTTGCCACCACTGAGAACAGCCTCTCTCCAGCAACCCTCCTTCTCAGGAAGTTGCAGGCTGCTCTCAAATCCCCCCTCACTCTGCTCTTCTGCAAATCCCTCAGTCTCCCCTTGAAGGTCATGCGCTCCATCCCCCTCATCATTTTCAGAGTTTCTACTGGACACAGCCCAAGTGTCCATGTCCTTTCTGTAATGGGAGGCCTAGAATTGGACACACTCCAGATGTGGCCTCACCAGAGCCAAATAAAGTGAAACAATCACTACTCTAGATCTGCTGGCAATACTCCTCTTAATGCAACCCAGTATTCCTATCCCCTTCTTGGCTACAAGGGCACACTGTTGACTCATCTCCAGCTTCTCATCCACTGTAACCCCCAGGTCCTTTTCTGCAGAACTGATACTTAGCCAGTCAGTCCCCAGCCTGTAACAATGTTTGGGATTCTTCCGTCCCATGTGCAGGACTCTGCACTTGTCCTTGTTGAACCTCGTCAGATTTCTTTTGGCCCAACCCTCCAATGTGTCTAGGTCACCCTGTACCCTATCCCTGCCCTCCAGTGTATCTACCTCTCCCGGCAGCTTAGTGTTATCTGTGAACTTGCTGAGGGTGCAATCCATCCCCTCCTCCAGGGCATTAATAAAGATGTTGAACAAACCGGCCCCAGGACAGACCTTGGGTGCATTTCCCTTCATACCAGCTACCAACTGGAATCAAGTCTCCCTTTTTGAATCTTACAAATTGATTGTAAACCAGAAATAAGTACAACACACTGCTCTGAGCTTGATATTTAACCAAGGCTTGAAATTTAATTGGTGTAGAACTGTTCGCTCAATATTTCAGCTGGTGCTCGATGTAAAAACACAATAGAACCAGGAATGTAATATTTTAACCAAATCTAAAAATATGTCGAGTTATTAATTGAATGTTTAATGAAATGAAGACATTTGTATACATATCAGCTTAATATTTCAGCCATCTCTAGGAAATACAGTATATCGTTACGAAGTTAGGATATTTATCTAATCCTGAAAATATTACAAAATGTGGTCATTCATTTAATATTTTAATCAAATGTGGACAAAAGTAATATTGAATTCCCAATTTCCTTTGACAATGAAAAACAGGACTGTATTGTCATTAATTATTGCAAGCATGCTAGGAATTCATATGCTATGTAGTTATGAATGTAACATTTCTAACGAAACTGGAGACCAGCTTCATATGTACTTAGTTAAGGTTTTGATCTAATCGAGGAATTAACATTAGACTATAGTAATTTAACGTGTACAGTGATGAGGACACTGGGGGAAAACCTATATTATCTGCACCAACTGTTAATGTCTAACTTATTAGTATTAAAATCTCCGAGGGATAGCCTTGTTAGTCTGTTACCGAAACAAACTTAAAAAATAACAAATTGTCCCACAGCACCTTAGAGACTAACAAACATTGTCTAAATTGTATCCAGAGCTTTCTTGGGCACCCACAAAGGCTCATGATATTATCTTCATTTTCTCTTAGCCTCTAAGGTGCTTCAGGACCATTTGTGTTTTTTATTAGTATCAGTAGGTAAATGTTTCCACTGGACATTGCAATGAATGTAATATCAAATTCTTCGCTTATTATTTTATTCACAACTGATATTAAAATAAAATGTAATTATCTATTTGTGGGTTTTTGTTTGTTTAAATTGAAGCTAGAATGGATAGCACAGGCAGTTATTAATTCATTTTAATTAAAATGATGAATTGCTCTCTTAGGTAGCTTTTTATATTAATAGAAATTATAAGATAGTTATGAACGCCACATGCCAAACCTATCTAGGAATTTGTACAGAATGAAATGAGCAATTTTAAGTTCTGAGTCTGACACTCAATGGGAACTGGGACTCAATGTCTCATTTTAATCAGTTTGGAAAATATAGGGGATAAGGCGGATAGGCCAAGCTATAGCTTTTCCCTCTTTGTCTGTGCAACACGTGGCACCATGAGGCCATGAGGTGTGATGGGGGCTCCCGGAGGTCACCTCACTAAGGGTATGTCTACACTATCCCGCTAGTTCGAACTAGCGGGGTAATGTATGCATACCGCACTTGCTAATGAAGCCCGGGATTTGAATTTCCCGGGCTTCATTAGCATAAGCGGGGA